TTTACAAAAAAAAGCAATTGCATACGCGCATATCAAGTATTTGACCCGCTCTGGATTGACAGTCCATATGACGAAAAACCCGATCATCATGGGCAATGCCGTTAGCAGAAGCTGAATACCTCTGCTTGCCATTGCAATATTAAAACTTAAACCCTGCCACTCACAACCCCAATTTATGGTCTTTAATTTTGTAAATTTCCTCAATCGACATGCACCACCCATCCGTCATTGACAGGCTGCATTGCGATATGGATGTTTTGAAAGTAAAGTTTTATTCTATCGATTTGGTTCCAGACTCATCGGCCTCTTGTTGCGAGTATTTGTATCTACGTTTAGTTTCTATAAATCCATACAAACAAATCCTAGTCGCCTGCACAAGACCAGTGCAACCCAGAAAGAAATTTACAACAAACAAGCTCATGTTGACAGGGGTGATTTGCGTGGAATACCTTGCCCAAATAAATCCAGTTAATGAAAGTGATGAGGACTGATAGAGCGAAAGTTGTGATGCAGGCCTTTTCAGATCGCTAATTCCAGCCACAACCAAGCCCTACATTAAGGCAACCATACAAACCCATTTGAAGAGAGGCGCCCAGAAGAATATCGTTTTCGGTCCTACGAACGTTACAGCCACCTGCCACAACTAACCTGCTGGGTGGTTCCAAAATTTCGAGAACGAGGCCGAAGACATCTGCAACAAGCGCTAAAATGACCAATTAATAAAATTTACAACAATGTCAGCCCCTTTGGGTGGCCCAAATGCTTGTTTCATGGCACAAGTTGCCGCATCAATTGCATCATATTTAGATGGCGATTTATTAGGGTTTGAGTTGACCATCTTTTGGAGATTGCAATATTTAGGCGTCTGCAAGTCTTATGCCCAATTGTCCACCAACGTCGGCCATGGGTGTACTAAATACCAAAAGACGTCGCCCCTCTTCACAAGCAGTGGGCAGGTCATACCTCTCCACTGCTAGTTCAGATAGAATTTCATCATCAGGATATATACATTCCCATGTTTTGGATTTCTTATTGGATTTTCCTGACGAAGCGGTAGAAGCGGTCTTCACCACCAGGCAAAATGGATGTGGAAATCTTTTCTAAAAAAATGATTAGCAAAAGGTGAAGCTTACGTTTTCTTTTGAAAATAGCTCCAAAAGAGACGGTGTCAGCGATGGGGGGAAATTTAGGATAGAATGGCACTTTAGTACGAGTCGAGCAGATTTGCAGTGCCTTTTTAAAGTTTCTGGCAAGGCTTGAGCTGTCCCGATGAAGGCAATAGGTGCATTGTATTCCTGCTTGGGACTAGAACTAGCATCCGAATCCTCCGCATCAGAGTGAGAAACCAGCTTGATGGTTGATCCAGTAAATTCTCTCTCATTTGAGACAAGTGTATCTACCAATCGAGAAATTTCCTTCGCCGAAATAGATAGCGGAGCAAGAAGATCGCTGATCATATTCAGAAGATACTGGCCGTCTGCAGGCTCAATATCAAAGAACTCAAAATTGACATCAACCAGTGAGCGTTCAGAATCGCTTGATGCGTTAGAGTCGTCAGATGCATCCGAACTGCTACTGTCCAGATTCTTTGGACTTTGAAGATCTGAATTTGAGGTACCAGACGATGTGTCGCCATCTGAATATGAGGTACCAGACGATGTGTCGCCATCTGAATATGAGCTACTGTCTGAAGGCTCAGAATCAGACTGATGCAGAGGGACTTTGGACCTTTTTTTCATTTTTTAAAAGTTCAACGTTTTCAAATGATTCAAACCCAAACCCTTCTTAAAGTTGCCGATAATTCCGGGGCCGCTATTGTCAAATGCATAGGGATGCTCGGAAAGAATAGATCAGCTACAGTTGGGCGGGTCATTAGCGTTTCGATAAAAAAACTTGCCGAGTCCGGAAACGCTATTACTTCCGTCAAAGGGGCCGCTGTGTCCACCTCGGGAGGATCTCCCACTGCCCTTCTGAAGCAGGGTGATGTATATAGGGCACTTGTGGTTCGGACAAAAAAACCCGTCATGCGGCCAGATGGCCGACGCGTCTCGTTTGGAGATAATGCTGCAGTGCTTCTCAATAGAGACTTTACTCCCGTTGGCACAAGGATAAGGGGTCCAATTGCGGAGGAACTTAAGGCCGCTGGTGGTGGCACCGCCTGGGCTAAAATCCTTGCCCTTGCCCAGCGCGTAATTTAACTGACCCATAAATCAACTTTTGTACCCAAAGATCGATCTCTATGCATGTACGGGCAAAATGGGACGTATTTCTAGAGGTGTGCACATGGATCGCTGCTTACTCGTATTTGCTATCCAAATACAGTAGTGGATTGGGAATACATTTTACTTGAGCGGGATATAGACATCTGCGGGCCGCTCTTGCGACTTGGGGCTAGGGAAGGTACAATCGCGACCGTTTTTGATTGCGGACGCCAAACTGGAAAGTACAAAGTCGACTGAGGCGATCGAATCGTCATTTGCCGGGATTGGATATGTGCATAAAGAGGCATCAAAGTTGGAGTCTATGATTCCAATGGTGGGAATGAGCACTGCATTGCACTCTTCAAACGCTTTTACATTTGTAGGGCCATCAACAACAATCACGAGATCTGGGAGCGATACTTGTGAGGGCGTGCTGACATAGTTATTATAGGAAGAATTGCGGTGTAGTTGTTGCTCCTTGAACATGCCACTGGGCAGCTGGGAGAAGGAGCCGCTCTCCATGATGGAGCGCTGGGCCAATGGCCCGAGCTCTTCAGAAGGGCCTGGCGGCGTAAAAAGAACAGCGTCTGAACTTGTGGCCTCCTTTAGGGTACGCTTTGCATTTGTCAGCAGCCCGTTAGTCCACTCTCCAGAAATAAAGAAGATGTTCAAACTCCGCGCGATCTGCTCTACCAAATGTACATAAGTGGGTCGCGTCCCCACCAAAAGAATAATTCCGCCAAGCTTTGCAATTTCATACGCAACTTGGGCTGCTCGTCGCAACGCCGCAAGCGTTTTGTCGAGATCGATTATGACGATTCCATGGCGTACTCCAAGCGAATATTGCCTGAAATTTGGGGCCAGAGTTGCCTTTGAATGTCCCAAATGCATGCCTGCATTCATCATTTGCTCAAGAGTGAGAAGTTGCACATCTTTCACAGGGGCCTCGCCAGAATTGCAAGCCAACGAGGAGGTAAGCGAGCCTGTTGAGGGCGTCAAATCGGTACCTGAAATCTCAGACTCGATCGTGGAAAGAAAATTATTTCGCGTTTCTAAATACTTGATAGCTTTAAAGGAATTTGAGACCTGCATGGTGGAAAATGCGGATATTCTCCTACATGACCCTCGAAGCAACATTTCAAAAGAAGGTAGCGGGTATTTTTAAATTTTATTTGAAACCCCCTGCTTTACCATTGACCCTGGCACTGGTGTTATAAAGGGGCTTCTTGCGCGTCTTTTTGTTCTCTGAAATTTTTAATTTTGAAAAGAGATTTTCCAAAGCAGCTAGAAGACTAAAATAAGAAATCCAAAAGGCATCCAAAGATTGCGCTTTGGAGGGATCGTTATGCGGCCTTGAAGATCTCACCAACAAAGTACCGAGATTTGTTGATAACTCAGCTATGCCTGCAAATAGGGGTGACGTAAAAGCCTGCGAAATCAATGCATTGCGTACTTTCTGTAATTTCTTTTGTGCGAGATATTTCGTACCGTGGTTTGGACTTGATCGAAATCGGAGCAATACTTGCAAGGTGTTAAAGTTGAGATTTTCGAATGTTGGGCATAACGGTATGGTGATAAGGTCTGATCAAGCAAAAGATGTTCTGGGGAGCGGGGAAATCGTTTGTGCTTACAACGAGACCGTTGCAACACGCCACATACGCTGGCAGAAGTCAAAGGAGGGCTTGATGACCGAGGAATCACCTAATGTTGCTTTTATGGCAGAGCTGTTAGATGGTTCCATCTTGCCCGAGATGATGAGGTCCGATTTTATCGAACCGTGCCAAAAAATCCACAAGCGAATCGAAAAATTCGCACCATGGATCCCGAACCCCCTTCAATGAATTTGCAGCTTACTGCTTTGCATCGCTCATGCAGCATAAAGTGAATTTTGTTTGCCACAGAATTCATTCATGTGACATGTATGAGACATCTATTTCCGGCCAATCTCCTGACATGACAGGTTAAATGAACACACAATGCTGCGACAGGCCGAACAATAAAGTTTCTTGGAAAAACAAAGCCCAATGGCGACACTGATAGAATGCGATTCCAAGCTTTAAAGGGAACGCCACCCGGGATGCAAAAAGACGCCATTTCCTTGCAAATTCTTGCTTTGGCAGCCCACCGGGCATATAAACTTTATTATTATAATGGCTCTTCCAGCCCGGCATAAAGGTGCTCAACATGCTCCTTGTATCGCTTCTCGGCTTCGAATCTTTTCAGCTTAAATGTTGTTGTAAGAAGGCCATTTTCGATTGAAAACGGCTCGATTTCGATGAAAACGGCTTTTGGAATCTCAAACCCCTTAAGGAGCTTCTGCGAGCGAGCAAACGAGTTAATTTCGCCTAAAATGTAGGCATTAAATGCATCGTTTTTGCATATCTCCTCAAATGGCAGCCTAGAGGACGCTCCCCATTTGAGAGCAAGCTCGCGATCTGGAACCACAATAGAAACGAGAGCAGAACGAAGGGAGTTTCCGGTAACAAAAATCTGCTCAACAATCGGAGCTTGAAGCAAAAAATTCTCGATTTTTTCGGGGGCAACATACTCTCCTTGGGACAATTTAAAGATGCTAGGGGAAAGCCAAACGTCAAATTACTTTTTCTTGCGGTCGATAATTCGCATTTGGAAGGTCTCTGTCCATTCACCAATGTCCCCCGTATGCACCCAGCCATCTGCATCGATGACTTCTGCGGTACGCTCGGGATCCTTGTAGTAGGATAAAAAGGTTTGAGGGCCCCTCAAACAGATTTCTCCTCGTTGGCGTCGAGGATCATCAGAAGTGTATCCCATTTCGGGGACATCAACCAGCTTCACCTCGTTTGATGGAGTGGGAATTCCAACATGCCCGCTAGTAAAATCGTTTGATTCCGTCTAAGTAAACCTTATACCTAAATTACCAAAAGCGAGGCGGCAGAAGTTTCCGTTTGGCCGTAGCCCTCGAAGATTGGGGCGGAGAACGCAATTTTCAAAAAGTCGATGACATCTGTAGATATGGGTGCAGATCCGGTAAGCATGGCCTAGCGTTAAAATGATAGCTTTGTGATACTTGAACTCCTCCGCCAAACTTTGCCCTGATTTTGGAGAAAATAAGCCAGCTAGTAAAATGTAAGACACGAAAAAGGGTACTCCCAAAGCCAATGCGTTACTTTGCCTTCCTTTAAAATTTTAAGCTTCGACTTGACAGCATACTTGGAACCAGTGATAAATTGATGCCATCAAATACCTTAAAAAGAAATCGGGCAATAAAGCTCTTCTCCTTGACGCCAGAAAATATTTTCCCGTAAATCTTGTTGAAGAGACGCGGGACCGTGACAAATAACGTTGGCTTCAGGATGGCTTCAATAAAAAAACGAAAGCTCACCAATATCATCGAGAAGCTTGAGGGTATCGCCTCTGTAGAAGCCAATGCAGGCCCCAAATGTCATCAGCGTGGTAAAAACAACCCGCTCCAGAATATGGGCCAACGGCAGGTACGATATGTGCGTATTGTTCATGGTAATTTTAAAAACTAGTCTTAAAACATCCAAAAGTGTTACTCAAACCATTGACTGACATTAGACGAATTCCAGCCACAACAGAGATCATCGATGCATGTGTTAGGGTAACTCCTTTCTAATGTTCAATGCCAAATGTATGTTTACCGGAAGGCCCGTCGTTCCGCTTGTGTAACAAATTGTGTAAACATCGGTGGGGGCCGGTGGCCTGGCAGGAAAAACATTTTTTTCACCGATCTATGGAAAGCCCATTGACTGTACCTTTAGCAGGTCCTCAAACATAATTAGCTTAACTGGTGCGGTTAGCAAAATCGATTTACCTTGTAAAGCTTCAGCCTGGCGCTGCAAATTGGCATCAATTGGCTTGTTTGCTGTTTTCATCAAAACGATATTTTTGAGAGCAGGCATTTTGTCCTTGAAATCCAATAGAGAGGCCAGTTTATCATGAGTGGTAAAGATGCATTTGAGCCCCGTTTGGTTACAAATAAAAACGATGGCCTCATGTCCAAGTGTATCATACAATGGAACTGTAACAAAGTTGACGCGATAGCAGGAATATTCGGCCGCGACCTAGAAATAAAGGAAAAGCAAGCGCAACCCATTCGATTCGGTTTATAGAATACAGGCCAATGCATTCCCTTTCCAAAATTCCAATAGAAGATAAGGCGGACCTACATCTGTGTTACCCAATTAAAAGCATACGAAATGTGCGTAATCATTTTATCAAACTCCGCATATGTGATCCAGGAATACGTGGTCAGTCCGGGATCAATTGTGCCCAAAAAATCGCGTTTTCCATTGTCTCTCGAGCTTTTAAGAAATGCCTCATAAATGGTGCTGATGTGGCAGTCGTATTTTGTCAGCAAGGGGCGATTTGCCACAAGTGGATGGCGACGCGGAATGCCTTCTCCAGGCCGCTTTTCCACACCCGGTACAGGCAATGAGCGGATGGCAGATGAGGCCGCATGCGGATCGCTGCTGGGGGAGAGCTTGCTGGAGTTGGCCGCTGTGTGGGGCGCTGATGGTGAAGTGTTGATTGACATTTGGGGTATATTCTTAAATTTGCAAATCCAAATGACATCCATTAATCACAAGCCACTACATTGCACTTGCCAATTGAACGGGGACCTGATTTTACAAACCGAGACTTTAATTTGTAAATTCTGGGACAGCAATGCCAGATGTTGTCGTAGATGAAAGTCCCTATAAGGGTCTCTATGTGCGGCTCATGTTTGCAGGCAGACAGTCTCTAACGGGCATCATCAATAATGTTGATTCAGACACCAAATCTATCACTCTGCACTCGGGTATCAACGCCTTCCTTATTTGTAGTCTCCTCATTCAATGAGCACGGTGGCCTTATCGGCGAATTTAGCCAGCTTATCGCCAGGGGCTCAGATCTCGTTGACCTGGAGATCCTTGAGGTTACGGCAAACGAACACGATGATGCTAAAGTTGACGGTCTGTGTTCTTCGCAAAGCAAAATGGAAAAGATGGCCGATGCTGCGCCGGAGATGAACCCGCACGCTTTTCCACTGTCCATACGGGAGCCCAGTTGTCAAATTGAATCTCACTCGCCTATTCAAAGTGGGGAAAGCATTTACCTGAACAGAGATGGTGTCTCCTTGCCCTATTCTTCGCTTCCGGTGCTCCCGGAGTCGCTTCTCAATAGGATTTTACGATTCACAAGCATAAAGTTGGGTCCAAATTCTGTTCAGGTGCACGAAAATGCTGCTCGAAGCATTTTGGATCTTATTCGATCCCAATTTGACCTAAAATCGATCTCATGTGTTGCGCTTCAGGTTGATGTCTCCAGAAATGGCGCTATTGCACTTGCCACGGCAAGAATGCTCCTTAATCTTGGCGTTTCCACGGTGGTTGGTATATCGAGGCGTTTTCCTCTTGTAGATGAAAAGCACTTCAATTTCCAAGCGGATTTGGCAATAAAAAACGGATTCAAATGGACTACCGTCGCTTCGATCACCTCGCCAGACCTGGTCATTACAGGGCTTTCAAACACCGACTTGCCGGCTCCGGAAATATTGAAAAATGTGCCTGCATCAAACATAATTTCCATAGGAATGCCCCTAAAGGCTTCCAATCGAAATATTCATGTCGATTTGATCCTGCCCACTTCTCTTTCTATGGAGTATTCCAACCAAAGGCTTTACATTGTCGACATTGGAATCTCATCTCGAATCGTAAAAATGTATTTACAGAAATCTATACCCTCAATTCCGACCGGGCTTATTGATTTTTTGTTTGCGCAATCCTCCTTTATTCATCTTGCCAGATGATCGATTTCATCAAATTGATCGCACCGGTATGGTTTCGATTGCCCACCAAATAAATATTTACAAGTTTCTAGATCGTAAGGCCCCTGCTAAGCACTTTCTTGCCTCAAGCAAAATCTTAAGGGGCGGTCGGAGCCTGCCAAAAATTTCGATACAACACTCTGATGAGGAAGCTGTAGAAAAATCATTCAAAGATCCGAAAAAAGGCAATAGTGCTGATAATGGCGGTAAAGGAGACGGCCTTATTCCAAGCACAAGTGCATATCTAATGGACAGGCGAGAAATAACCTCCGAAATGCATGGGACACCCACAACCAATGAGATGGGAATCATCTGGTCCTCCATTTGAATGCCCTTATTGCGAAGAACGAGGATTTTTTCCTCTTCGATTTTTGTTTTGTCCAGCCAGAAGAGGAGAACAGCAAAAGCGGTAAAGGTGGCCACTGCAACGACATAGCGGTAGATTAGCAATGACGAAAAGAGAGAAATAAATATCCAAAGAAAGCGGCAATAAGGATTGCTTCCTTTACGATATAGGCAAATTTCGGTAATATTTTCATTCCATTGGTGAATATACAGCTTGTACAAGCCATGCTCTGCTAAAAGCATTTGGAGACTTTTTGATTGGATTTCAATTTTATCAACTGAAAAAACCAAATCCAATTTCAGCAATTTTGAAAATAATCAAAATATTTCGAATCCTCTCAGCAATTATTGTTGTTTGGTCCGCTATAAGGTGTGGTTTACCGACATGAAATACGACGGCTTACATTTCGCAGTTATTTTTACAAAATTGTTTTTCTCGTACTTTTTACAAATCGCCTATGTAAGCGGCATTTTATCGGAAGTCCAAGTAATGAGTGGGTGATTAGGACGGCTTGTATCTTTAACTTGAAAAGTCGAGTTTGTTTAGAAGTGCTAAAAGACTCTGAATTTATAGATGCATGAGATGGCCACTTATGTTTTTATCTGTTGCAAAAGAGCTATCCTGCCAGATGGTGCATTCTAACTCCAAAAGGCAAATTTAATTCAAAAGTTAGAATCTACTTTAAATGGCCAATCAATCAGAATCGGAGTTTATTGATCAAATGCATCTACAAATGCCCCAATAGAAGCTTTATATAGCCAGAATGCAGTTCACAGTGTAATTTTCACGTCCAAAGACGAATAGAGTGCTGATAGGAGCGAAATTTACACACCCTAAAGTAGCGCTATTTTAAAATATCGGTTTTGAACATTGAAAGGAGGCTACAAGAAACTTTACCCCCGAAAGATGTTCAGAGCTCATTTGGAAGTGGATAAATCGGATATTTTTCTCGATAACATGAAGGGATCAATTCAGCTAACATTTGGAAGTATTTCCTGAGGCCCAGTGCATGGATGGGAGATTATCATCCCATTAAAAGATGTGCCGAAAAGACTAAAAATAAGCTCAGATTATTGCTTCCAAAATAGATCTGTATGAAATTATGTAAGCATTGGAGTTATTGACCGCCAAGTGGGTCTTTTTCTTCGATACCTTTACCTGCCATTTTACCGGCTTCACTTTGTTGCCTTGTTGCTTCAGTTCCGACTTTTTCCGAGTCAGCATAGGCTTTATAGACTTTATTTCTCGACATGTCTTCATTTCTGAATCTGACAGCTTTAAAATTTTTGCCAACTTTTTCGGCATTATTAAGGACAGTCCCGGTTTTATTTCAGAATTTCAGTTGATCGGCTTTGAGCGCAGGTGCTCCAACTTTCAGCTTAGACGCTTCAGTTATGAGTTCTGCTTTTTCATATCCAAGCGCAGCAAGCTGCTTCAAAGACCTGCTGGCATTCTATATGCCACTTTGCATACGCAATGTTGCATCAAAGAAAAATGCCGAATTGGATCATTAAGAACGTGCCCTGTTAAATTGAAAAAGCGCAAGCACAGAAGTGCCCTATTTGTGCGCCACACTGGCCAGGTAATCAGTTACATTCAAAATGGCTAAAATGGAGGTTTACCAGTCTAGCAAAAGCATAATTTATTGCTGCTCTGACCAATTAACTCGGAAATGATCGGTGCAAGATAACTCCGCCTGACGTTCGAATAAAGCGAGGCTCTATCAACAGTACACATTCAGATTTCGGATCTTTTTGGTCATATTTTGCAAGAAATGTCTTTCTATGTTTGATTGAGTGAATTGTATCCCGATCAGGGTCTGTATCTAGCGCCATCTAATGGGACACTCTTAATTTGACTTATCAGCATCATTATTAATATAAATGCAATTGAAGGGCCAGCAGGGAAATATATTAAAGCAACCACCAATACTATTCTATTGTGCATTATCGCCCCTGTGCCAATTCGATTTGGTCGAATACGCGTCGAGTCATGTGACCTGTGTGCTGATATTTCGTATTCTCGGCTTTTTACACAATGACTTTCTGGCTCTGGATCTAGCCCGTGGTCTTTATAAGCGATGCACAGCTAAATAAATGTAGCTTGGCTATTTACAAACGGCTTTGTCAAAGTCAAGGACATTTCTACAGACAAAATGGATCAAATCAAACTGAAAGATAGAACGAGACGCGAACCGAAATCTAAGATGGGCAATTAATTGCACTTGAAGTTTAAATTAGTCAAATGGGTTAGCTTTGAATTAAAATTAAAATTTTCAATGCCTGCACTCGTGTTCCGGAGTCGTCATCCTTTCCGCTTAATGCGCATGAAGTCTTCTACCGCCAGCAAGGAGGGATTTAGAGCCGAAAAAGACGTTAAAGAAGAATCTTTACAGCAAGATTCAGCATCACCTTCAAATACATGCACTGTTGAGGAAAAAGCACAACGTATGGGTATGTTTTCGTATATCTTTTCTAGTTACCGAAGTCTTTTTGCAAAAAGACACCGAGGAGGTAATGGAGGCCGTTAGAGATATGCGCCGTAGTGTTAATTCTGCAGTTGTCGAGCGGTAGCCCAGGTGTTTGCTGTTTACCGGCCTTTGGATTTGCAATTGAATTTTATTTTATGAATATAACATGGCAGCTCTTTACCACCCACCCATCTAGCTACCTACTTGTCTTCGATTTGCAGTATTTTAAGCGTTTCCGAGCAAATTTTATTATCGAAATGAGAAATCGATTTCCTTGGTCGGGATAGCGATTAACTGTACCCTTTGGGTAGCCATTTACTTGGCCAGCAAAACCGATGGTCGCTGAAAACGATCCGGACTTGCCATGCCGCAGAGCCGCGAAATAAGCGCAACAAGCTGGAGTTTGGAGGTGTGTCCTTCAATGGTACGCATATGTGCAAGACCAAGCTCCTATACATCAGCAGGGTAATTTACCTTGAGCATCGAGATTTGAAGCCCCTCGTTGCTCAAAGCTCGATCGGCGCCAGCAGAATCAGTCACAGGTGGTTGAGGAAAGGAGAAGCTTGTTTTTCCGATCCGGAAAAGACCGCCAACAATATCCAATGGCGCATAGCCTTGTGTGAGAAGTTGGTTTATCTTTTCAACGGATGTTTTGAGATTCCCCTCGCGAATCTTTGTTAGAAGCGAGGCAAGCTCCGCTGGCTGTGGTTTGTTGGCCACTAGAGAGAGCACCGCGGAATTGACAATCGAGCCCGCTGCTGCTCCAGCTGCAGCCTGTAGTGAGTGAATTGCCTGTCGTAGATCACCAAACTCGCCCGCAATCGAAACAAGCGCTTCCAAACCATCAGAGGAAACTTGAATGGACTCTTTTGCGGAAATTGCGAGCAATCTGGAACATATTTCCTCCGGAGATGGCGGGAAGAAGCGAAGTATGGCGCACCTGCTTTGGATAGGTTCGATGATTTTTGAAGAGTGGTTGCAAAGTAAAGCGAAACGGGTTGTTCCCGCGTGCAGTTCCATAATGCGCCGCAACGCTTGTTGTGCCCCCGCTGTCATGCTACCAGTAAGAAAAATTAAAGGGGCAGTCAAAAAGAGACAAAAAGCTCCCAAAACAATCAAGGATGGAAACCTACCTGTCTGCCTCGTCCAAAAGCACAATTTTGTGCCGACCAGCGGGCAGCGTCACTTTTTTGGTGGCAAACATCTTGATGCTGAACCGAACCACATCGATGCCGCGCTCGTCCGAGGCATTTAGTTCAAGAAATGCCTCTGGAAGTTGATCAACCGTCAACATCGTCGACGCAAGGCACGTGATGGCCGTGGTCTTTCCAATGCCGGGCGGCCCAGAGATCAGCAAGTTCGGCATATTGCCCTGCGAGCCAATCACTTTTAGCCGCGCAATTGTCTCGCTATTTCCAACAACTTCTTCAAGAGACTTTGGCCGGTACTTTTCGACCCTACAGGTAAAAGACGTTCGCTACCATGGCAATCCCCAGGCGGCCGTGGTATCACTCATTGGATAAAATTTAAACGCACATCATTGTGGAATGCACTTTTGCGGCAGCAGCGTAACCCTAACCCTAAATCGCTCGTTTATTTGTATTCCGTAGCAATCTCCAAAATTTAAAACTTTGCTTTTCCTTGGACGCAGAGCATGCAGCAGTCGCTATCGGCGCACGGGATGCACGCACATCGGGTTATCGTTTTCAATTTATCCGCTAAAAATGAAGATGTAATTGTGGAGCAGCATTTACCACTGGGCGATGCGTTCTTCGACCCTTTTGAGCTGGGACGGCTTTTGCCCGCAAACACATGGTCACTGGAAGGCAACATGCCCATCGATCTTGAATCGCCTGTTATTAAGGGAGCTCCCATGCCCCATTTTTTACGTCTGCGAATATCTGCCGGTACTAGCGGTACCATCAAGCTGCCCATGCACGCCAGATACCCGATCCCATCTTCACATAAAAAGGAAAATGGGAAACTTCCGGAGCGATATCAGGTGTTTGTGCCATCTATCCAGCTTTCGCATGCAAATCCAGAATTGGTTTCCATCGATGCTACTAACTCCTGCTCTGATTGGAGCATACCCACAGGCATGATAGACGATTTCTACGTTGTGCAGCTGCTTATTGTCGCTCTGCTCTGCATGGCTCTGATAATAATTGTCCGGGCGCTGTTGCGCAAGAGTAAATCAATGAAAAATTAAAAATAAAATGCCGGCTTTTTATTTGGCGTCGGCAGCTTATGCTTTTGCTTATCCTGACAGTAATATTGATGCTCGTGCTCGCAGTCTTGATGCGCCGCTTTGCACGCAGGATTGCCCCAATACACAACTCTGCCAAACAGAATCAACCGCACAAAATGGTGCTGCTAATCCGACAGGATATCGAGATGACTAAGGTAATTGAGCTTTCCACTGATCGCTGCAGGGAAAAGTGGCGGCACAATGCTGCCATGCTGCCCTTGCAGCATATCAAGCAGCACTTCGCCAACGCCAGTCGGATCTCCTCCAAATGTGGGAGAGCCAGGGTCAGCCGAAAATTACTCTTCGTGTGCGAGACGAAGCAGAAATGCTACAGATCCGCGACGCAGCACGTACTCATTCGCTGATTACAGCAAGTGTGAAGGATGCAGGACACACACAAGTGGTTCCAGGTACACGCACGGTGCTTGCAATCGGTCCAGGTATGCATTGTGCCTCACGTGTAGGCCCTACGCCAGTTATTGATTATCTGTGCGGCCATCTTAAACTCTACTGACAGCCAACTATTGCCGTTTTAATACACAGTTGAAGTCGAGAGGAAATGAGCGATGTGCGACTTTGATGTGGTCTTATAGGGTTAGGGACATGCACAACTGGAAGCCAATGGATCTGTTCGACAAGTGACTACGGAGTGCACAGGTAATGGATGGGTGTTTATAAAAGTTGGTTGTGAATTTATAATACAGCTTAGGCGATTTTGATAATAAGGGGCACTTTCGAGACAAGACCATTTACAATGGTGTAGATTGCAGCTGCGCCAGTCGGGAAGCAAGCTGGAATGACTGTATAAACTCTTCCGAGGCTTACGTTTAACGTTGCTGCTTTCCAAGACGCAGTTGCCTTTCCATTAAAGGCAACCAATAGAAATGATAATGATAATGTTTGTGCACCGCCTGTTATCAAGTAATCAATCCAGTAGATTTTTCCAGCTCTGGCAATACGAAAAGCATTGACAATTGCGACCGATGGCGTTGGAGGCTCGATTGGAAACACTAACACTGCAGCAGATGTTCCTATTCCATACATAGACATAACCGAAATGAAGTAGCTATTTGGCGCAGTCAAAAAGCTGCTATTGAGGAAGAACAAAGCATTGCCAAAGTCCGGCACTTCTATGGAGTAAATTGACTGACCGTCTGTGGAATTCAAGATAGAGATGGTCGTCATTTGAGGGCAGCATTTTATGTTGAATGGCACCCATGTAACATTAATATACGAGTCAAGGACTGCAGAACTTGAAGTTATCACCGAAATGTTTGGTGCATGAGTAAATGTTACCACGGGGCCGGATTGATTGGTACCGAAAATCGGCGAACTCACACTGACACTCCATCCAGGCGATGGGATTAGCGATGGCCTCAGCAGTGAGAGGTTGAATGTTGCGTTGCCAAGATTTGGAATCAAGCCAAGTGAAATCTCCTCAAAAAGGTTCACAAGACTGATATTGACAGGCACCGAGCTGTTGGGGCTTGACGGGGTCCAGCTCACAAAAAAAGTCTCGTTCAAAATAGAGGATGTCAAGTGGGTCGTATCCGGGTAAGTTACCTCGGTGAGCGGCGTTTCCGAATAGACAATAAATGTTGAGCTTGTGGAATTTCCAAGCGATGTTTCTAAAAAGACTTCATACTGACCCGGAATAGCACCGTGGTTTTCATATTTGGCGGCAGCAGAGGATATATCTGCATATGTGATTCCGAAAAGAGAAGCGAGAAAAACAAAAAGCACGGATATGGAAATCATACTGTTGATTTTGGAGAGGGCTCGAATAAATATGAATACAAGGCGGCAGCCATGGAAACGCGTTGCGTCATCACAAACTAAAATTTTAACACGCATCGATTAGTTTGTGTCAACATGTGACCAGCACCCAGGCACACATTAGTGGACCAAAATTTTTATTAAGCAAATTTTCCTCTCAATAAAGATGGCGCCAGTTGACTTTGGCAAAATATGGATGGGCTTTTAAACGTCCAATTTGCGATGGCGTGTTGAAGCGTCTCTTTTCCGGGTCAGGATGCATGAGCCGTTTCAATAGGGAGCGTAGCTCTGGAGAAAAGCTGTCCGGGATCGGGTTCCAAATCAGCCTTCCGCTAAACCGTGGTGTCCGTTTGCGTGAAATTGGCAAAACCAATTTGTATGGAAGGTAAGTGAAGATGGGGAGCTTCCTTACCCTTTCTGAGGCTTTACTTGTAAAAAGCCCATTCATGGTGGAAAAGTTCTCAGCAAGCAAGTTTTCATCTCTTTTGTCGATGTCATCGCCAACATGAACAATGGGACCATCATGGATGGCCTTATGTAGCATATAGATGGTGACCCCGGCAGACCACCAATCCAGCGCTTCATGCAAAGGGGCATCCTCATACCCGGCGACGGTCGCAACTTCGGGAGCCATTGTTATCTTGGTGCCCCGTCGATACCCGGCTCCTGAAATGGGCACCGAAAGTCCAAAGTCAATCAGAGCAACACGATTTTTGTTTAAAAATCGAACCAAGTTGTGAGGCTTAACATCGTGATGTAAATACCCAGCAGCATGGATCCGCTCAATCGCGGTGACTAGCTGTGCTGCGAATTGGACCACCAGGTCATCTGAGAGCTCAGATTTCGAACGTGGGAAGCCCTTCCACAAATCACCGCCGTCAGCGTAGGGCATGATGACGGAAAGCCGTTCCCTCACGGCACAGCCAATTTTTATGATGGACGGATGTGGAAAATTGACTGTCCTTATCTCTCGCTCAAACTCCACCGGCCTGGAATATGATTTGATGATGAATCTGGTGCTAGAGTTTGATTTTAGATGTACCAAGTACGCCGTGGCCTGACCTCCTTTGCCAACAAAGACTTTGTTGGCCAGATCAAAGGCATCCATTCGACACTGCTGATTATGGAGAAAACAAGTACCTCTGGAACGACAAGCTTTTCCTGGGACACCGGAAATTGTGCATCACCGGCATTTTGAGTTTGGTCTGCATCTTTCCAGTCGTAAAAATCCATAACCTTGAGCCATGGGTTGGTGGAATCAAAATCGGTAGCACTTGACCTAACTGCAGCCTTCAAATATGCGCTAAATTCGCCCTGCTGGTATCCTGGAGTCAACATGTTTTCATTTGAATAATGCAGAGAAGAGTAGTGCGGAATCTTTCGGTCTTCCCTCCCAAATGGGGTAATAAATGCAACTTGAGCCATGTCCTCTATTTGTCTGGAGGCGGATGGCGGATAAAACTCTCCACCCTGCTCCTCCGTTCCGTACAAGGTGCCCAGAAATTCGGAAGCCTCCTCATCAGACTCTTGATTTCTCATTCCCGCCCTTTGAGCGGGGAGGTCAATCAGTGAAGAAAAGGAATCTGGATCTGAAGACCTGCTTGTCTTTTGCATATGAACTATCCTGTTCTCCATCGCTCTGTGGATGGACTTCTGCATAGGCATGGAGGCTTCAGGCGTTGCAAGACCAGACAGATGAATTGCATTTTCGATAAGTGTTGAATTGCCTGTGGAAACCAATGTATCAACGGGCACATTGAAAATTGGCTTTAGATTCTCGCAGACTGCCGGTTTAGGGCATTGAGCGATTAGAACCGCCGTACATATGACCCAAATACAGAGCATCTGAATCGATAAATTTTGGCTACTCTAATTGACCAGGCATCAGTAGTTCGATCATTAATCCTGTCAACGATGTTTATCTCCATCAACACTTGAAATTCAAAATAAATGGTAACCGGCGTATTTCCCTAAACATAGGTCCTCAAGCAATAAGAAGATTTCCAAATAAAAGGCCTATGTGGCCGCAAAGCGCAAGAAAGATCTAAAAATTATCTCTGCAAAATAATGTCGTCGGCCAAATAGCGAAGCTTAGAGAAATGGCAGCAAAGTTTTAAATTTAATTTATTTTTGGGAGGTCTTGGCGGTGCTAAAGTAAAACCGCTTGTAAACTTTGGGCCGGGAGTATTTTTCGGCGTCTTTGCTCTGCTCTTCTTCGTCATGGTATGGACGCAGCTTCTTTAACGAGACGTATCTGTTCAATGCTTTATCTTCGTTAAATACAATGTCTTCCATTTTGAGGCCATAAGTGGTGGGAACCACCGGTTTATACTTAAACCGCGTAGCAAGACCGCCGGCGATCTACACTTAAAAAAGAACCGATACCTTGTCTTCGTAATGGATTTTATAATATTCCTCTTCCAGGCTGGCAATTTCTTTCTGCAATGATTCCGCAAGGTTTTCATGTGAGACGTTTTTTTCTGGATCGTTGCCATCTTTCTTGTTCTCGGACTTGCTTTTTTTCTTTTCGGGTGCTTTTTTGTCCTTCTTTTTTTTCAGAGGGGACTCGAGGAATAGCTCAGAGTCCAAAGGATCTTCTGCAGCGTAGTAATCATCGTCAAAAAGTGCCGCCATCTTGGCATCGTGCTCGGCTTCATCAAAAGACGAGGCATCGTTTGCCTCGTCTTTCATAATACTGGCGACCCGTTCTGCTGCTGCAGAATCTCCTGAAAGAAGAGCAACTTTCTTTGCTAGCGCTTCAATTTGACCTCGTTTGAGGACTTTCAGTCGCTTTAGCTCTTCGGTCTCAACTCGCTCTCTCGCTAAATGTCTCTCGTGCTTTGCTTTTCGAGAAGCTTTCCTCATGTTTTCCTCTACTCTAATGGAGCTGGAATGATCTCTGGAGTGACCGACAACCTGAGAAAGATTGGAAACCCCTCCAAAGTCATCTTCAAAACGTCTGTTGAAAGAGACCTCAAATTCGTCTGCCCTTTCTATCTCTTCAGAATCCGACTCATTTTCAAGTTTATGCTGTTGCTTTTTTGCGGCTCCTCCATGTGTCCACCCGCGATTCATTATGTAAGAAGCAAGAAACGCATCTACTGCGGCCTCATCTTCCACAACATCTGGAATCGGTTTAGCGTCCTTTTTTTTAGCCTTTTTGCTAGGTTGCTGGTTTAGCCAAGCCCCCATGGTAGCCTGTACATCTTTTTCCTAGCATTTAAAAATAAAACATCCAAACTTTAGAGATTGCTTCAATGAAAGAGGCGGCATATTTGCTGTCATCTATGGAGGGTTGGGCTGCGCTGGTTGAAAACAACTCAATTTCCTCATCTTGTTCAGAAACCGATGCAGCTTTGATAAGCGCGGAGCGTAACTCTTCCTGCTCTTCGTTGTAGCTTTTTGGCTTGGGATCTTCATCTTCAGAGTCGCCCTTGAGATATGCTCCGGAAAGCAGCATTTTGTGCGAATATTTTTTCAGCGTCAGTGGGTCATCCTTTACACCCTTTTCCTTCTCTTCAAGATTGTCCTCCGGAAAAAACTTTGATCCAGAGTCATATATGGAGCGATCCTTTGCCCGAATTTTAGCAATTGTCCGCACCAAATTGATATCGCTAGAAAGATCTGCCATCAGGTCCACCTCTTCTTCGGAGGAAGAAGAAGAGTCAGATTCATCATCACTATCGCTTTGATAATGAGAAGGATTTTTCTCGTATTTGGCAGAAAGCTGCTGAAGTTCTTCTCGTCGTTTGCGTTCTTCAAATTTTTTTGCAAAGTCATGATTAACCCGAATGAGATTATCCACGGGCTCTGCAATTCCGTCATCATCCTCAAGCAGTTTGGAGGAGGAAAGAAGTATTGGCATTTTGAAAAATATTTAACCTGTAATTCAAATTCAAATTAAATTTTAATTCTGTTTCTCTAAATGGTAAGTCCAGTAGCTTGAATTAGCCTCTTTTGTCCCACATTTCATTCATCGTTTACTGTGTGTTGACCCGTTTTTTTGATCATCTAATTTCTCTTTGTAGGCTTTTGGAACGAATAAGGCTCTTCAAAAAAACAAAAAGGGCATCAAGAAGAAGATAGTCGACCCATTTACGCGCAAGGAGTGGTATGATATCAAAGCACCATCATTCTTCTCCAAGCGAGTGATTGGAAAGACACTTGTCAATCGCACAGCTGGACAGTTCAACTCGGAGAGCTCCCTTAAGGGACGCGTTTTGGAACTCTCTCTTGGCGACCTTAATGTAGAGAGCGAGGACCTTGCTTACCGTAAATTCAAGCTACGTGTCGATGAGATCCAGGGCAAAAACTGCCTTACCAACTTTCACGGAATGGACTTTACCCCCGACAAGATTCGATCAATGGTCAAGAAATGGATCTCCCTGATTGAAGGACATATCGATGTCAAGACTGCCGATGGTTATTTTCTGCGCCTTTTCTGTATTGCATTTACCAAGAGACGTCCAAACCAAATCAAAAAGACATCGTATGCCCAGAGCGCCCAAATTAAGCTCATCCGCAAGAAGATGTTTGACATCATCACCAAGGAAGTCACGTCTTCCGAGCTCAAAGAGGTTGTTTCCAAGCTGATTGCCGAATCTATTGGCGCTGAGATTGAAAAGCAATGCGCATCCATTTATCCTTTGCAAAATGTATTTATTCGCAAAGTAAAGATCCTGAAAATGCCAAAGTATGACGTCCAGAAGCTGCTGGAGCTTCACGCCGCCGCTCCGGTGTCTGCAGCATCTGCCTCAACTGGAGAGGAGCTTGGTATGCAAATCGACCGTTCTGATGTCACCTGGGTCGAACCAGTCCCCTCTGACTCTATCTAATTAACCAATAAACAAGATAAGAATTGGAAATTCTGGGCTCGTCAATGTTGTAGCTCGCCGGGTTGGGCTCGTCAATGTTGTAGCTCGCCGGGTTGGGCTCTGTCGTCATGTTACAATAATTATTTTATTCACAACCATAGAGACTCATCAGCATTACTTTCTTCCTTTCTAGAATATAGCTCTCAACCTCGTCGAGCGAAGGAAGGGAAGGGAACGGATAGTATAACGGAATCGAGTGATCCAAGTCGATTGGCAAAGAGATCGATCCATCCTCATTATAGGACAAGTCCACCGGAAGAAGACCAAAATACTCTGCACTCAGTTTGCTGGACATTTTGGATAGGTTTAAATCCTCAATGTCTCTAGGCTTGGGTTCGGCACTGCCAGAAACATCGTCGTCATTTTCACGATCATCATTTCTGCCATCGATGTCTTCATCTTCCTTTTTGTGGTACATTGTCGAAACCATTTTCAGTCTGTCAGACACGCCTGGCAGCTGCGCAGCTCGTCCATAATATCTATGCGATAATCAGACAAAAAGGCGTACTTGTAATGGAAAGCGGCGGAAGAAGAAGGGCCGGAAACGGGAATTGGCTTTCCAGTGTTATCAATAAGAACGCCAGGAAGAGTGGACACCGAGGTCAGGTTCGAGCGCCTATCGGTTACCTTCCCGCCAAGCTGCCGGATTCTATTATCCCAATGGTTCTTTTCACGCACAAGATTGTTGATCGAATCGTTAAGCGTCTTGATCTGGTGGTCCGATCCAACATTCCTGCTTTGTATGCGTGTGATTGATCGAGAGACTTCTCTGAGAAGGATGTTTCGCCAATGTTCTGCAGCCCTAAGCGACGTCACCTTTTGAATGGCGGCATATGTTGTAGGTCGCTCGTCGTTGTTTGAAATCATATGGTCTACTGATTCTGCAGCGGTGCGCTCGCGGAACTGCTTTATTAGCGCCTTGGTCTGGTCAAGGCCGCCCATGTTCATTTCAACTAGGCCACAAAATTAAAATTAAAATTAAAATTAAAATTAAACTTAAAATTAAATTCTATTTAATTAAATCAGCAGTCTGTTTAAAACCCAAGCCCGATAATAAAGAAGGATACACATGGGTTGTCCCACTACACAAAAGGACACCCAAAAAAAAAAGTTTCCAAATGCCCGCCATTCAGGTTTTTTCATCAGAATATACTTGACCGTGTATATCAATGGCACCTACCATTAGTCAAAGAGCAACATACTTGCAGGAGAAACACAAGGAAGGCCCAGAACTGCAGCACATGGGTGGGAATGCCGATGGCAATTTCATGAAGCAGCCCTGATAATCCAAATATTGCCAACACGGAGATTGAGGGCGAAATCCCGCGTCGTCGTAAGGGCAGATAGATGTGGCGTTTCATCCACATGTGCACCGGCTGGTTCCACAATCTCCAATACTCATCTATGGAGCAGGAATTCCACCAGGGCAAGTAGAAAACCCTATCGCCAAATCCAATCACCTATGGGATGTTAATGAAAGCGGATCCAAACCTCCGAAATGCAATTCAAAAACGAGTGGAAAAAGGCATAGAAAAACAAAAGCCAAATGCAGATGTTGGATACGGAGAGAAGCAATAGCCGCTCGATGATGAGAATAAAGTCGAGCTGCACCAAATAATCAGTGGAGTTTACAACGGTCGGGACGGCGTATTGTTCGATAAGAATGTAAATCATCGTGATGCACGAGAACAGCTCAAAGAGCCTGGTCATAAAGTATCGCCATCTAAAGGCCTCGCTCCTGGGATACTGCAGCTGGAAGCACAAGGTCGGTGCAGCCCAAAAGTAGAACATATGCAGAATGGATACCTGCGGATTCTCTTCCGTAGAGCTGGATGGGACATCTAAAGCGCCGGAAGAGCCATCCACAAGCTCTTTGGAAGATGTCAAAGCTACTCCATTTGCTGGATTTCCCCTTGCAGCTCGCATGGCCCCGATTGATTTCAAATCCATCAGCACCAGGTGGAATGAAATCAGCTTCATGACAAGAATAATCGATGAACACAGCAGAAGCATTCCTGGGATTACATGCTCGACTTTCTCCCACGTGAGAAACGCAGATAGGGCGAAAAGGAGACAAATATTTGCCGCCTTCAAAAGAGTAAACTTTGGAACCAATTCAAGAGAATAGGCAACCAAAATTGCAATTGGCGAATAAAAGAGGCCAAAAAATGCAAGGTATCCAAAATCGGAAATCGGAACGCTATGGCCAGGAATGGCAATGAAGAGAAGCCCATAAGTGCGGAAATTTTCCAATGCAGAGACAGAAGTGCTGACAACTAGCATCAAAATGGCAAGGTTCACTAGTCCATTGTAGTTTTGGATGGGCGATTCTTGGGCCAGAAGAGAAGGCTGTATGTGGACATGTATGGGATATGCATGCGTGTTGATTAATTCGTCTTTACACAGAGAGCAGAGCACGGTCTTGTTGCATGAGCAAGGCCCGGGAAGCGGACTGAGCGGCAAGAACGGGCTCAATAAAAGGTCGCTAGACACCCGTTCCCGCAGGTTTGATGCTGAAGGGGAGGTGTGTTCTGCGACCACCATTCAGCAAATAAGAAACTTTAACTCCCTCTTCAACATTGACAGTTCACGATCGCTAATTGCAAATTCCATAATTAAACCCATATTGGGAATCAAAGTTTGTCCCGGTGTGTTGCGTTGAACTCGTATCTATAGGTTTATTGTTGCATTTACTGGCGCTACATCAAAAGGCCCTTGGATCGAGAAATGTATGATGGCTCAGCAAACTCGTATATCGAGTCCGGAAATAGGGTATCGTGCTTCTGGTCGAGGAACCTGGGATGAGCGAGAAAATCTTACTGCAGTATTTTGATGAACTCGTCCCGCAACACGGCGGAAGTTGAAATGGTGGTGGCCGTTTGTGATAAAAGAGATGGGATCTTAACAAAAAGACGAAGAAGGTGTATGGCCCCATAGATCTGCGAGAGCGGCGCCGCCTCGCTTGTTTTGAGAACATCCTTCAACTGCACCCGCTCAAAGGGATAAAGTAAGAAAGAGCCCAGGGCTACATTGAAATAATCGCAAAGCCCTTCGCAAACTTCGCGGGCAACCTCGCTGATGATAAGTAAAAGACACCGTACCGTTGCTGGGTGCACGTGCCATCTTCTGGATACTGGTCTTCCAGATACATGGCCAACACCTGCGAAAGCGTAGGCGTAGCAGGGGTTTTGAGAACCTAATCGGTTAGCGAAACAGGAAAACCATTTGGTTTTTAGTAATCGCCTCAAAGTCATCCACGAGAACTGCTTTCAAGTTGTTGGGGATGGGGATCTTCATTTCAATAAGCGTCGTCTGTGCAGACGTCTCCGTTGAATCATGCTCGGCTTTAGCATCTTCGGAGGGAGGTTTTTTGCGAGACGTCTGGAGGCCTGTCTGTGTTAACCGCCTTTTTGGAAGCACAGGGGGAGACTCCGCTGTGGGTGAGGACATGTCCACCTCTTGACCGCCCCTTTCAAAATGCATCTTTTTGAGATTTTTCATCTTGGCAATGTTTTCCTCATTGAGCTTCATTATCCTGCCGGGTCCAACCCACTCGTTCCACCTGCCGCGAAAGTGAGAAATTAATGAATCGATGACGGATAAAAAGTCAGTTGTACAGAAAGGAATCAAAATATGGACAGTAATCAGCGATAAACATGGGATCTTGTGCGAAATATAGTTATAGCAAACCATGGTGGTGATGGACGTACTTTGCACTCCAGCCCTTATAGTGCACGTGATAGAGCGGCTGTTCGCCCTTGGATTCTGTTTTCACATCTAGGATCTAGAAATAAGCTACGAAACGATGCCTTTGCTTCATATAACATCTCACCATGGTAGCAAAGAATGGATTCGTTCGCTTTGAAGGTGGCCATGTAAACCTTATATTAAAAAGGGTAATTTGCAAATTAAAAATGAAGCGTTTTGGTAATTTCGTTTATCAGGCTGGCCTCGTTTTACCAGACAACTATAGCAACGCCATTTGGCGAGATGGCCGCCGTTTGCTCTGCAACCCATCTTTTGGCCCTCATGTTCAAGGATATGAAAAATGTGCACAAGAAAATACGGCAAATAGGGAAATGCCTCGGCTTTGACCCATCTCAGCTCGAGGAGACTAAAACGGAACTCACCATGGATTTGCAATCTCAAATCGACGGTTTCTTCAAGGGCTCAGCAAGGAAATTTTGCGTTCCAGTTCTTCTGACAGGATCTTTGTTCCAACAAAGAACATATCGGTGCCTAGTCGAAGCGGCTCGTTTTGGAGAGCGCATTTCGTATTCTGCGCTTGCAAGAAAGGTTAGTGGGAATGAAGCGTCGAGAAGGGCCGTAGCACTTGCTCTTGGGTGCAATCCTATCCTGTTGGTTATTCCTTGTCATCGAGTGCTCCCGTCGAATATTGTAAAGGGGATTGGCGGCTTTGCCGCTGGTGTCCAACGAAAGCAGGAACTCTTGCGTCTAGAAGAGCGTATCGCATAGGTAAAAGCTGGCTTCTTCCGTTAGAAGCAGAATCTGTGCTGTAGCTTTGACTCGAGTCGTTGCACCATCGACAGCCCTCGGCTATCAATCAGACCGGGAAAGTTTAACGAATTTATAAAATTGGATGATGAATTGTAAAAAAAAATTCCTAATGGCACCACCACTGCCGCCGTCACCTGTTCAGCATGAACTGGCCGATTTGGCGCGCGTTTTCCGGGAGCGGTCAACGAAGGAAATTCCCCTTTCGTATATGGAATATTTGTCACTCTCAAAGCGGATTAGGGTACTTTCTTTGCCTCAGCCCCAACAGCCATTGTGGAAGGAGCCAATAGTGTCTTCTTCTGCTTCTTCCTCTTCCAAGGAAGAAAATTTCATGTCATTTTCTAATGCGGCAAAAGAAGCCTTGCGAATCCTAGAGGAAGTTAAAAGCAGGCCTTTGTTGTCCAGCAGGAAGCGAAGGAAACTCGCACCGCCGCCCTCATTTGTCTGCCCTTCAATGCCTGAAGATGAGATTGCTAATATTTCCGCCTCAGCGGCATCTTTACCCTCCTCATATAGAGCCCCATCGACGCCATCGTTGACATCAAAACAGCAAGAACCTGGAGTTCGACCGTGGTGGAGCTCCATTTGGAATGTGTACGATACACTTTATTCGGTTACTAGACGACCAAAAAAGATCCCAGTAAGTAATAAGGATATTGTCCAGCGGGATTTTTCTTTTCCATCTGTACGCACATTCCTCTCAGATTCCAGCACAGCTAATAGCCAAAGTGGCACCTTGGCTCCATTTGGCGGCTCTTTAGTGGGCAATGGACAACCGGAAACCACATTGCCTTCCCCGAGTGGTTCCGTATTTTCCATAGAGGCAAATATTCCTCGCTCTGACGCTTCAAATAGTATTTCAAATCATGACCCAAAGGCACATATGGAACGAGCACCAAAAGTGACTTTTTCGCTTCCAGAAGACCGGCCCGAAATATCATCCACATCCACAATTGCACCATCAACTGCTCAATCAACTGCCCCATGGGTGCCGATAGCGACGCCTATGTTGCCAGCGGCAACTTCATTTCAGCCTTCTTCACAGTTTTCGTTCTCGTTTCCTTCTTCCAATCAAAAGTTTGATATGGCTTCAAAAGCCTCATCCATTGAAATCAAGGAGATTATTGAGGACGAAAAGGAGAAGAAAACGCTTCCGGAGGAGGAAAAAAAGCCCGAATCAAGTTCTTCCCTTACCTTACTCCCAAGTATATCTGCGCCAGATTCAAAATTGTGTCCAGTTGCATCGCCTACGCCCTCTTTTGAAGCGTCAAGACCATTCTCTTTGACATCTACGGCTTCTACTCCACCTGCGGCCTCTGCAACATCTGCGGACTCTACAAAATCTACGCCACCTGTATCATCCCAGCTCCCCGCCATGAGCGCCAAAGGATTTTCCTTTTCCTTTCCATCAGCCAATGTCTCCCAATCGACCCCAACGCAAGATCAGAATTTGAAAACACCATCACCGTTTGGAAGCTCTAGCGCTTTCACGTTCAATGGATCTTCCACTTCACCGTTTGGGAGCCTCAACAATACGGCTCCCGCTTCTCAAAAGGATGGGGCTTCTTCTGTAGCCGGAGCTTCCTCGCTATTTTCAACCATTTTTACGCCTGCAACTCAAACAGGCTCCACAGCGGACCCGAAAGTTGGATCGGTCTTTTCATTTGGAAGCCAAGTGACTTCTCCTTCTAGTGGCCCCTGTCAGCCATTCGTGTTTGGAGCAAGTGGTGCCACTAATGCTGCATCCTCATTCCCGGGCCTACTACCTACAGGTTCAGCAGCCATTGCAGCGGACACTGGACTTCCGTCCACGGGTGCAATTGGAGGTTTTTCATCACCGTCGTTTATTAGTAATGGTGGGGGGCTCAACTCGCCTGTCATGTCAGCCGGATCTTCACAGGGCAGGTTCATAATACCGGCCCACAAGCTTAAGCGCAGGCGGTAGTTAATAAATCTTTCATGGCTTCTGTGTCCATAGCTTTAAATTGCCGTCCCAACTTGCAGTACACAGTGCGTAACCATCTGAAGAGACGCCAAGTGAAGAGACGCGATTCTGATGGCCTGAAATGACAGAAATCCTCTCAGCGCGAAGGGTATCCCATGCAGAGACATTGAAGTCATCATACGCCGCAAAAAGAATCCTTCCGGACGATGAAAAGTCTAGCGAGGTGACGCCTCCGGCGATGCTTGCGTGGGAAAAAATGCTGATCTCGCCGTCATAGCGCAAGTCAAAAAGCCTGCAAGTAGAGTCGTCAGATCCGGTCGCAATTACATTGGCATCTGGAAAGAATCTATGCAATAAGCGTGAAAGGTGGAAAGGTAAAATAAAATTTTGATAAATCAACCAACCTGACGCAGTTTACATCGGCCTCATGACCAGCAAAGGTGCGGACACAATGGCCCGTGCGGATATCCCATACTTTAGTGAACGAGTCGCAAGCACCTGTCACAACTATGGACTGCGGCAGATCTACAGCCACAGACATCACGTCGCCATCATGCTCTTCAAAGCGTAAAATGGGCTTTGAACGCGAAAGATCCCAAAGTATTGCAGATGTGTCGCCTGAAGATGATATTATCTGCTCATCCGACACGAAGCGAACACACGAAATGTATCCGGAATGCCCCATCATTTCTGCAGTGATTTTGGACGACAAGAGAGACGATGAATCTTTGGATTGGACATCCCAAACCGAAACTCTATTGTCAAGACCTCCAGAGGCTATCATCTTCCCAGACTGCGAAAAGGCGCAAGTCATGACCCAAGGGGAGCGGAGCGGAATTGCAAGCATCTTGTTTCCCGAGATGCCGTTCCAAATGATGAGCTTTCCATCTTGGCCTGCAGAAACAATGTATGGCTGTGATGGTGACCAGTACATTGCATATATTTTTGAGGAATGGCCCTTTAGGGTCTTTCGGACCTTGTAGCCTGTTTGGGGGAGCGGCTGGATACCCATCTGATCGGAAACCTCGTCCACTAAACTAAGAAAATAAAGATACAAAAAGCATCGGCCAATTCTTCCTTTGTGTTTCGCAGTTTCACCTTGAGGCTCTCTATTTCCCTCTTGGTGGCAGCGATGGCCTCGGCATAGCCCTCGTCTGATGTATGTGACGGGACAGGACTGGACTTTGTCTCCTCCGTCGAATCGGTATCTATAGAGTTTGATAAAGGCGATATTGTTGACATAATGTGATTAATTTTATTCTGGAAAGCGTGAAAAAAAGACTAAAAATGTATGTGCTGGCTATTGGTGCCTTTTTTGGAATTTCGAATACAGAATTATTGGAAATTAAACACATCCAATGTCAAATCAGCTCTGAAGTGATCAGACCAATTATAATCAGATGTGCATTTTATGATTGATGTTTAAAGTGAAGTTGGAATTTAAAATGCCAGTTGCCAGTTTGTTGAATGTGTCGGCAATTGGTATTTTCCTGGGGTGGCATGAACGCATGAAACCGGCTTCTATAAAAGGCAGGCTATAAAAGCGTTTAGCGATGTTTATGGACGGGAAATGGCCTGCAAGCAAAATTGCCCTTTGTTCCAATCGATCATTTCGCAGTGTCTCCAATCGAGAAAAGTATCCCCTGCCTGTAAGATGGATCCCAATTCCACAACATAAACAACCGAGTTGATTTGTGTGTTTATGGATTCAGTTAATCAAATAAAGCAAAGCAAGCAAACTAGGCAAACTAGGCGATCCCAGAAGAGTTTTACCAAGCGTTTTTGCCTGTAAAAGGCAAATTGCCATCGATATCGAAACGCAAGACATCTAGGGTCGGTAGTTACTTGCCATTGTCTTCATTTATGGCCGGCCAAAAAAAGAAAAGTACTTTTGATTGAAACTTTACATCCAATGAACGCTGTTTTTATTGCCGTTTAATGAAAGGTATCGATCGGGAGCAAGTTCAGTTTGTGGATCCAAAGCCGCCTGAGCCACGAACAGTTTCCGTAAGTGACTGAACGACTCTCACTTCGGGCGTGGCAATCTTTTCCAAAATCAATTGCGCAATACGGTCCCCTTTTTTTATCGAAAAATCAGCTTCGGTGCTTGTGTTAAAAAGCAAAACACCGACATTTCCTCGGTAATCAGCGTCAATAACTCCAGCACCAACGTCAATTCCATGCTTCAGGGCAATCCCAGATCGCGGCGCCACCCTTCCGTATGTGCCTAGAGGAACTGCTATTGCTATGTCGGTGGGGACAAGGAGACGGCCTTGTTTCGGGACGATAGCATCCTTCGCACTGAAAAGGTCATATCCAGCTGCATTTTCTGAAAGCCTTTGGGGAGCTTGTCCGTTTTCAGAGAGCAGCGTTACGAACAGGGAGTCACCACATTGCGTTTCGTCGCGAATCATAGACATCATTTTAATAAAATTACATCCTTCAATTGAGGTATTTGTTTCGAGTAACCCTCGTCTTATTTGGGCCCCTTGCAGCAAAATTTCTTCGGCTAAGCCTAGCGCTTCGGGATCATCTCCATTCAAAGCCTTTGGATCAAAGAGTTTCCATTTCAGAAGCGGCATTCGATTTTGGGCGAAACTTTGAGAACTTGCAAAACATGCAACAACAATATCTTTGCTTCCTCGGGTTACCGGGTCTCAATGTGGTTCTTCTATCGATTTTAAGGCCAAAAAAGAAGCCCCTTTACGCGAAAAATTCCAATAAAATAAGCTTTTGTATGCGCCCTTTAACACTTCACCCTCTTCACTTTGAAGAAGATCAAGCGGCGAAAAACCAGCCATCTGCTCTCTTCACGGATGATGGTGCTTATTTTACGGCTTTTTTATGCAAAAAAGCCAAGGCAATCAATGGCTTGTGAGCTGTCTTTTCTCTTTTCTAGGCTATTTGGTATGGCCGGCTAATTGATCTTTTGAAGAGGACAATCCAATCTTTTGGAGGGTTCAGCTAATATGCCTAATGGTCACGACAAAGAGCTAGGCTAAACGATATTTATAACGCGCCTCAGTGATAACTTTTCCTCTGGTTTATTGCATGTATGTCTTGCTCATCTGAAGTGCCGGCTAGTATGATGCCTTCTTCCGAGCTCTTGCTCGCGGTTATATTCCTCCTCTAATATCTTGGTATAATATACTCTTCGCAACAATGTCTGCTCATAAATGTGCTTGAGAACAGCATATCGATATTCACTTTGGTAAGACCGATCGACCTTCATTCGGTCGATTTTCTTCAACGTCAACTGAAAAATTTTCTCATTGAAGGCATAAAAGTCTTGCGTTAAGACTTTGTTCCTGGTCTCAGTTGTTCCCGATGCGTCCTCATCTTTAGTATCGTGGATTTTCATATCAGAGAGATTTTCACCACTGCAGCCACTGATTGAAGTGGATTTTAGCCGAGAAGGTGTCCAGTGTTCGGGACAAAGGGGTTGTCTCGATGTCGGTCCGCTAGTTTTATTTTCCATTGATGTCTTTTTTAAGAGCCTCATCAATGATTTGATCGGTGGTGTCTTGGTTTCTTCTGAAAGGCCCGATCCCATCTCAGAGACCGAGGATGGTATGTTTGTGGAGCGCTCCGATCCCTTGCAAGCAGGGTCTTTTTCATTTTTCTTTTCCTTGCCTTTCTGCCGAAAAAACTGTATTTTTGATTTCAAGAGTGGGGACTCGCTCATCAGGAAAATCCCAGTCCTCTCTTATTTGGACATTGCAATTGAAAGAACTATACGAGATCAAACAGGCCAATCAGAAATTCATTTTTTGCAACCAATGAGGAAAATTTCAAGATTGAATAAAAAGTTTTACTTATTAAATTGGCGCAACTTGCTGCACCACCAAGGGGTATTACTGCATGTCTTATTTGCATCAAGTGACAGCTTTCAATAATTTTGCCGATAAACCCGCAGATACCGTACTAAATGACAGTTGCAACAAAGGTGTCGGATACTTTCCACTCTCCATGCTTGAGGAGCGGTTTAAATGTGGTCCGATCCCTTTTTGTAAGGTAACGGGGTCGTCATAAATGATTACTAGCCTATATTTTTGAATAGAACGCATAGATTTTTTTCCAAGTCCAAATTCTTTGTATCTGTTGAAAGCAAATTTGCCCATGATTTTTCGGTTGAAATTCTTCTTTCCACCTCTTTGAGTGGAAACTCAACTGCCCGCATAATTTCCCGGAAAATCGCAACAAAAGCGCTGCCGTTTTTTCGGCTTGTTTTTTATGCTAATAGCAACAGCACAAGAATAGAGTTTGTACATGGATGCCATCGGAGTTCATACAATGTTTCTTATTTGCTTCCATTTAAGAAAATTCATATCGCTGATCACCTCTCGATTGTGGTTTCCAAAAGGATCCCAGGCGCTACGTTTATACGGTGGAATGGGAAAATTCCGACCATCCTTTCTTCTTCTTTCATTTACTTGAAATGTCCTTTTTGTACGATTAAAAGCTACTTTGCAGTGTTCCAAAGCATCGAGCAATTGCAGATGCATTCAAAACTATTCCACGGCGACCATTTCCGTTACAAACTGCTGTATCGGAGTACCAGTATATATGTTTATGAAATCAGGGAAAACAGAGATCTCGTGGGTGCGATGAAATTGCTTTCGAGGACATTTGCTATAAACACGGACGATTTTTCTTTGGCACCTTTGCCATTTTCTTTCAAATATCAAAGGAAATCCAGCCGGTTTGAACTCCGACCAAAGCATCAAAGCGAGGAAAAGAAGAGGCAATTTCAAACAGGCTACAACCGAGGGGCGAGATATTTTGTGGACTCGTTTTTGATGCAACCGCTGGATCCCGCAAAGTTTACGTCATCAACAACGACCGATTCGGAAGCCATCATCGATGAAGCGCTAATTCGGGACTTTTGTGATCTTTCCGAACAAGAAAAGTCGATAATGATCTGCTGGAACAATTTCCAGCGACAAATGTAAGATTTGAGTGTTTCTTGCCATAGGAAGCAAATTGATAGCAATTTTGTAAACAACATTGCCCTACTCCCCTTTATGCAAACGGTTATTTTGGAGTCAATATTTGATTCATGTTTAACGCCCTACACACTTTCTCTTCTTTCATCGCATGTGCTTAGCATTCAAGAATTGCATGCAATAGACAATATAACGCTGCATGCAGCAATGGAGCTTCTTCGACAATCCAAGGACCTCCTTAGACTTAACATTGGCAGCCCTTGCATCTAATCACAAAGCATATAACAAGCATTGTCGAGTTTCCATTCCGCTTTTTGGGGACTGGCTACGGTTTGACACGGGTAGCACGACAATTAGATGGGACAAATTTGACCTTTACACATCGGATCATGTCTTCGATTTTAAAAGGTGGAGGCCATCGCAGATTGCGGTACATTTAACCAATGCTTGCCTGTCTTAACGGGCCTATGTATATCTACTATTAATGGGGGGGGCCATTAAATCGAGTAATAATATTAATTGCATGCTAAACTTTACCACATCGTCAATTAAATCAATTAAGCCAAGTAACGTGTGGCGCACGTCTATAAAATTATAAAACTTTCCTTTGATTTATCACTCATTCCATGGGGCCCAGCGGATCAAGTCCTTTTGCCGTGATAACATGTATTCCCTTTACCCCAATGTTAAATAGATATCGACATCAACGGGGCTTGGCCACTCATCGAGCCATTATTTACAAGGCTGCCATCGCAGTCTCTTAGCATAAATTGCCAAAATAGAGTTGTTTCTACAACTCTGCGGCTGCAATTCATAGACTACGAGTTGATAACATGGCAAGAAGAAGAGAGAACCTTATCCTCATATCTTGAGCCCGTCATTTCGGTGTTGCTTTACAAGTTTGAGCACATGGAAAGGTATCTGTTTGTTTTACGTCAAGGTACAAGGATGGCGGCAAGGCGCTCATAAAAAAGGCCCTGGACAAGTTTTCTAGCAAAATGATTGAGAATTCGCCAATTCTTTTCGTTCTTGTCAGCGGGAAAGACAAATTTACCACAAATATGCTTCTTTCCAGGCTGCATACGGATTGGCGGGCTTCTTCTCGCCACATCCACAGCCTTCAAATCCCGAAATCCGGAGGCACAATTGAAAAGTTTGTCGAGGAAACCTTGAATCCGATTGTTGCGCAGGGGATTGAAAAGCGAATTCTTTATTTCAATGCCAATAACAGCATGCGGGCTGGGAACATTATCCAAAAAGTAGTTCTTTTATCTCCCTTCATGTAGGATAGCTATGCACTTTTCCTGCAAGTGGTTGGGGATTACGATGGCGCAATTTCGATCCTAGATTCTTTGGGCTGTTTTCCAATCCAATTTAAGTTTGGAAACATCTGGGAAAAGACCTTCGATATTCTTGACCCCGAAAGCTACATATCAAAATTCCGTCGACACTTTATTTCACACACTCAAGAAAATGGTGAAGGTGTGCCAATATACATCTATTGGAGGACCATCCATCTCGAATGCTTGTCATTGTGTAAAGAACCTGAACAGCCAGTAATCAACGAGTCCATACCATCGAAGAGGCGGGGCGATTCTAAGAACGCGCTGTTCAGCATTTGCAGAAGAGTTGCATTACTGTTTGAATCGACCAGACAGACAAATAATGAGGCCATTTACGATCTTTTGAAATCGATAATCGATATTTTTCCGTGCCAAAACCAGCAACTGGCTATACTTTATAGCTGGGCCATCCAGCACCTATCGTTGGAGTCAAAGACCAAGGACCGTAATAATGTTCTTTTGCTTTTGGTATGGTGTTTATTTAACCTGTAGGATTTATATGGAAAAGGCATTGACATTGCAAGTGCTTATAATTTAACCAGAGAAGCATCACTGCTTTTGGAAAAGGTTGCTTTCCAGTACTTGGCTTTTGGAGACTGGAATGTAGGCATTTCCATCTGCGAAAAGCTGCTATCGTACTATTCTCGCCTTGAGGGCTGGTGGGAATTTACAGGTGCCAGAATCAACCGGCAAATCGCCACCGAAGCGGTCTCAAATGGCCGTGGAGTTGAGGAGTTAGAACAGGTTCTTTTGAACCTTATAAAGGACGAATCATGGGAAGCTTGCCATCGCGTCATTGAAAAAATCAACAGTATTGATGGCCATGTTACAATTCAAAAATTGTCCAAAGGCGTTGTTGAAATATCGGATTTTTATTCTATCGATTGGGATGGGTCCGTTTTATCTTTTAGAGCCCTCGTCAATTCTAAGCTACACATTCTGGAATCTAAAATATCGTTAATATTTACCTCCATCGATGGAGGCGAAGACTTTGTCTTTGAGGGAAAAGCAGTCTTTAGCAGAAACTTCAATCCCGATTTAGAGGCCACGGAGGCACCTTTGTTTGATCCTATTTTGGCAAAAAATCTAGATCGCCCAACGGCCGGCATATGTTTCCAATTTAATTGCCACTCCTTTTTTTCAGGGTCTCTTTATAAATTGTTAACCCTTTTGCCAAAGAAAAGTTCCATTGAGATCGGCCATATACGGTTGGATTTTGAATCGGCTATTCACTTTGAAAGGATAAATTTTAACGATTTACTTGTCAATTTAATACACGAGAGGATCAAGATAGTTTCCAAAAATATTTGGAACCGATCCATCGTGCCTGTTCTGTTTTCTTCGCAAAGGAAAAACAAGACCTCTCCCTTCCTCCCAGATCTAATCGCCGCGTGTTGCTTCAGTAGGCCACTGCATAGCTATGTGAGTGAAATGCTTTGGGTTGCGTCTTCATCGGATGGATTGCTTCTAAATGAAATATATCAGAAAATGGCCTCAAGCTACCCATTATATTCGTACAACATCAAAGCAGTCACTTCAAAGAGCTTCAAGTAGCTTTTGATTTTCATCTCCTAGGTCCGTAATTTGGATTTTGAACTTGACCCCCCTATCAGACACCTTTAGAATTTTAGGTCCAAAATGGCTAACTTCCATTTCTGATAATGAAGAGTTGGCTATCAATGAGGTCGATTTCGACTCGGATTTTTTTGCCATCACACAGCCAGTCCGCTGGATGCATACAACAGCAATCGATACTTGTTCCGACATAGTTGCATGCTTCAGAATTGAGAATGCATATCTGAAATGTATCCATTACATCAAAGAGAAATATGATCCACCCATGGTACCGCATTTACGGATTTATCCTAGGTTATTGTGCGAGCGTGGGTACAATTGGAAGATGCAACGAAGAGTTCTGTGGCCGAAAAATCTCTTGTGCCCTTCAATTTAATGGTCAAAGTTTGGTGGGGCCAACGTCTTAAAGACTGCGGCCGTTGTGCATCATCTGTCATCGTCACCATTGGTGATTACCACGACTCTTGGGAGCTCATTGAAAAGAGTCCCCAAATTCATATTCCATTGGACCCGTTGCGCATTGAAAGTCTTTTTACTTGTCGATTCCGATCTTTGATATGTGGCGCGCGTGGGAGTTACGCTCCACTTCCAAAGGCCGTATATTTTTTACAAAACCCCGACCAAGAGCATCCTAGTAGCGACTATCAAATACAATTTGAGGATGCAACACGTGCAGATTTGAAGCTTTTAATCGATTTTTAAAACCCTCCTCAATCTTTCGGCATTTGAATTTTGGTCTGCTTCACAGTCTGACGTCAAATTGAGGATTGGGATGTGTGGGGTTTCTTTGAATGCCTCGTGTGCTTCTTCCAAAAGCACCTGCATGATCTCGCATTCGATGTTTTCTCTGATTTTCTGTGGAGAGTATTTCCTAAAAATACTCGCAATGCATAGGTACCTGTTTGCCAGACGATCATAAAGAACGGTATTATTTGTGCTTAAAACGACCACAAGATCTATCAAGGAGGAGGGGATAATGTTTGCCACCGAGTGGAAATCAATCAAGTTTCCGCCAGACGAAATCATTTTGGAGAGGCCTTTGCGAACCTATTTTCTATCATCATAAAAAGATACTTTATAGTCGGAGAAGATCAGAGAATCCATTTCTTCGTCATAAGAAGAATACCATTTGTTGCGTTTTATTTCTTCACTCACATTTATATGGTTGTAATCGCCACTTGACACGAGCTCACACAGCGTTGTTTTTCCAGTACCCGGGGTTCCCGTAATAAGGATATTAGGAAGACTTCGTCCATTGCTGTTTGCCTCACAAAATACTAGTGTTGATTGCGTATGAAAATACCTTTGCACGAAATGTCGTCTTTTTCTGTTTGTGATACCTGGTTTACTATAAACGGGTTCTGCTTGAGCTTGGAAATTAATCTGGCCATTTAAAAAATCAAGATTGAGGCCTACTACAACGCACGCTTAACCCTAGCCCAAATTTTAAATTAAAAATGCCAACAACTCGGACATCATGATGATGATGATGATGATGATGATGATCCCACATTTGCGTAACTAGTGGGGCTGGATTGCAATTTCGTCGTGTCGATTGTTGTTTGATTTAACTTCAAATCTGCCGCAGTTGAGATCAGTTGTAGCCTCCAGCTTGATGGTCTTTTTGCTTATGAATTTGACCGATTCTTTGGATGATTAATGCACACATTGTGCTTCTGGAACTTCAGAAGGTGCATGCTTTTTTCGGATTTCTACGGATGTGGCTTTGCTTTTGTGGTTTCTGCAATTGCAATTGTTATATTTTTGCGCCTTGAAGGTTATACTTTTGCGCCTTGAAGGTTATACTTTTCTGCTTTGGAAGGCTGTTGTCTTCTACCCACATTAATTATGGTATCCCTTGTTCAAACGCTGGATAAAATGCTAGGATAATTTTAGCTGGCAATGTATTCTTAATGCTTGGTGCGCCTTTCACGACAGAAAATGTGCAGTACAATTTGCTGATCGTCAGGTGTTTTTAAATATTTATGTTTTCCGAATAAAGCCAAAATAAACGCGAATCATTGTGCCGGAAATCCGCTTCCCATTTCAAAAAAGGCTCAAAGCCGTATAAACGCCTTTGCGGGACCCAATGCGTATCAAGTGCCATATGGTAATACGCAGTAAAGTTCTTCTAAATAAGCCATTCTTCAATTTCGTGCTTATAATAGGTCTTTTGGTCAAGAAGATCTGCGAAAGAATTTAAACGACGAGATGGCAGAAATCGCACAACTTGAAGTTCAGAAATTAGGGCATTTGCAAACCCCGGGGTTTTGATCTATTTTCGATCAAAACTTCAGCCATTCACGCAAACACCGAACTCCGAACCGCCATTGAAAGGACGCTTACCGCTTCGACCATGCAGAATTGGGCGTCAGAAAATTGCTCAAAAACATGCAATAAATAGCATGCACATAAATTGGCGGTTTGCACAAGGTCCTGCCAACGCCAGTGTTTTTAATAGCTTTAACCACACCTGCAAAAGCTATTGCTACGAGCGATTTGAACGCATTTGATTTAAAATTTAACAACATTTAAGTTGCAAGGGCCCCATATTTAATTTACCTCATCAGTTTATAATGTTCCCTCCATTGGCTTCCAAAAAATCATCCAGGGTAGCGTATTACTACGATCGTATGTGGTTTCTTTGCTAAACATTGTGTAGCTGATATTGGAAATTTTTATTATGGCCCGGGGCATCCTATGAAGCCTCACAGGATTAGAATGACCACCTCTCTTTTGATTAACTATGGCCTTTTCTCAAAGATGGATGTTTTTGTAAGCATTCTTATAACTTCATCCCCATGTATTAGAGACCCCCCAAAGCATCTATCGAGGATATGACAAAGTTCCATTCTGATGAATATATCTCTTTCCTTAGCAGAGTCACTCCCGAAAATATGCATTCGTTTTCCACCCAGCTGGAGAAATGTAAGCCCCATGGGGAGAATTTTCATTTTCTAGTCAATGTTGGGGAAGATTGTCCAGTTTTTGAGGGCGTCTATGATTATTGCCAAATTAGCGCTGGCGGCTCTATTGCGGCAGCAATGAAGCTAAACCATGGACACACCGACATCGCCATAAACTGGGCTGGCGGGCTGCATCACGCAAAAAGGCAAGAGGCATCTGGGTTTTGCTATGTCAACGACATTGTTTTGGCCATCCTCGAGCTTTTGAAATACCACAAAAGAGTTCTTTACATCGATATCGATGTGCACCATGGCGATGGGGTTGAGGAGGCCTTTTATACGACCGACCGAGTTATGACAGTGTCTTTTCATAAATGCGGTGAATTCTTTCCCGGAACTGGCGACATCAAGGTACCCCATTGATCATCTTAGGGTTAGGATATCGGCTACAGACGCGGGAAATACTACTCCATAAACTGTCCTCTTCGCGATGGCGTCACCGATGAATCTTTCGCGAGCATTTTTGAGCCTGTCATTTCTCATGTGATGCAATGGTATCAACCGAGCGTGATTGTCCTCCAATGCGGAGCTGACTCTCTTGCAGGAGACCGTCTTGGTTGCTTTAACCTGTCATCGTCGGGCCATTCAGATTGTGTCGCGTTTGTTAAAAAATTCAATATCCCTCTGTTGCTTTTGGGTGGCGGCGGGTACACGATAAGAAACGTCTCCCGGGTGTGGACCCTGGAGACCGCAATCGCCCTTGGAGAGACTATTTCGGATGGTATTTTTGATGTGCCTTTATTTTAGAACTCCCCTACAACGACTATTTTGAGTACTTTTCACCAGACTATTCGCTATCCGTGCCCGCCTCTAATGCTACCAACTACAATACCAGAGAGTATTTAGAAAAATGCACCTCCATTATTATTGAGAACCTAAGACAGACACAATTTTGCCCCAATGTCCAACAACAAGGTAGCTTGATATTTTAATTTCCAGATATTCCTTCAGATTACTTTACCGACTCTGCATCAGAAGCAGATGAAAACTACGAAGAAGAGGAGCAGGAAAGAGAGAGAAAGAAAAATTTTTACAGGAAAAAACACATGTTAAATGACGAAGGGCAGCACATCTATGTCGATGATGATGATATTTGATTAGTTGGATAAAATTTGTAAATTTAATTTGAGCCTGGTCCAGTCCGGCCCAATCCAATTGAGCCTGGTTTGGAGTGGGCTTCGCCTAACCCTAAATCCCATTTATTTGAATTTAATGGGCCATATTCGTAATTGTTTAACACCTTGTTCCCATTGGATGCAAGATTTATGGCGGTGCAAAACAGCATGTAAAATGCTAGCAAATTTCTCGCTGCAATGAATGCTCAAAAGTTCCTTTTTCTGATGGCGTTGCTTACCATCTTTTCTCGCTCTTAAATTCATGCTGCTCAGAGTGGAGGCGCTACTTCCCGAAATCAACACGACGAGGCTGGAGCTACTTCTCTTGGGGCTATACTTTCTGCAAAAACTGGTGTTGACGGAGGTATATCAGAAATAGAAAAAACACACTATAACACGATGAATCTGGACATCAATATTTACGGGTGAAAACATTGAAACACGTGTTCTTGAAAGATATGCGAGCAAAGATACATTACGAAAAGCCTGGGTTGAAGTGTCACCTTTTTTCCATGGTAGCAAAGTATTCAGTGAGCTTACATCCCATGAACATGGTTCCTCTCATGGAAAGCGTTGAACGCTTTTGATATTCTTCTCAAGATATAAGCAACTCTTTCGTGGGGAACAATAAGAACTCCCATCTCTTTCTGATGGGAGGCTTAGGCTTTTATTCCAAAGCAGTTTCGAAAAATGGACTAAACGGACTAAACGGACTAAACGGACGTCACCACCCATGGATTACTGGCATAAATCTTGGCCCTTTAAACGGAAGCAAGGATGCATTGAATTCTAAATTGCGTGTTGCAATTTTCTTCTTTCCTGTTTATATCGTTTCTTTGAAGACATCTTATCCTGCGCCCCTTTACTTGAATATAATAACTCTTTCTTCAAATCGAACCCCGTTTAGCCATTTCTATTTTCATTGTTTAATGTTGCTCCACTTCGAGTAAAAATATTCTTAGCAGATGGAGTTAGCTGATAATATGGGATTATACCAACAAGAAAGCAACATATGAGCATCTTTGAAAGTACTGGTAATATTTTTTTTGAAAAGTAACCGACTGCACCGACAGATGCACAGCTTTCATTCTCTTTCGTATTCAATGGCTGCGAAAATCAATTTTTAGTGCAAAAATTATAAATGTCTGTTGAAAAGAGCCAAACAGTTGCAAAAGGCTTCATTATCGCACCAATATGCGAATGTCGCTAAATAGCAGATTTTATCAAATGGCTTCTTGTTTTGAAAAATACTTAATTAGGCACAAGATCTTTTATCTGCTTCTCGGATTTCAATTCTACGTTTGCTATTACTTTCGTGGCCAGTATTTCAAGCATGTTCTCCACATTAATGAGAGCAAGTTTGCTGGCTTTTCTGCTGGCATTTCTCTGCTCACCTTTTTTGCCTCTTTTTTTTGGACCCGAATAGCCGATCGGTACGAAATTCACAAAAGTATGCTGCTTGTCTTTGCTTTTCTCTCTTCTGCAGCATTTTCTGCCCTATCTTTCAGTGGATTTTCCGCTCCAACATGCATGACCCTCGCTGGCCTTTATGTGCTGTTTGGCATGGCTATGCCACCCCTTGCTGATAAGATTATTTTGGACGACCTTGCTGCAAAAGGATTATCCAAGGACCTTTATGCAAGACAAATGGTATTTGCCATCGTTTCCTACGGGGTCGTTACACTGGGAATTTCTTATTTTATTCATCTCTGCGGGTATCACGTTATTTTTCCCTTTCTTGCCATCTTTACTGCGTTGTTTATGGTGTTTACTTTTTTTTTCATGAATGTACCCAAGGGCGATCATTGTGCTGCAAAGGAATGTGGGCGTGCAACCTCAATTCAAATTCCGAAAGGAAAGTCGAACGTAAGCCTCTTGAGGCATGTGTTCAACTTGGACTATTTGTTCTTTCTTTTCGTTATTCTGGCTAATGGATTTTCGCGTTTCTTCATGAGTTTTTTCCTGAATCTCTATTTGACTGAAACAGTTTCGATGACGCCAATCCAATCTGCATGTTCTGCCATTTTTGGCATACTGCTTGAAATATTCATGTTCACTCGGGCAAAATTTCTTCTAAATAAAGTTGGCATCTATTGGATGCTGACTTTGGGGCAACTTGCCATGGTTATTCGGCTGTGGATGTATTACATACTACCGTCCAAAGTTGAATATCTTTATGTCTTTTTTATAGTCGAGCTACTCAAAGGCACCAATCTGGGGTTTGTCCAGCCTTCGGCCGTTAAACTTTCATCAATGTATGCGCCAAAGGGGCTTGAAGGGACCTTCCAGGGCATATATTTTGGTGTGTTTAGCGGGCTTGGCGGATTTCTTGCCGGACTGTATGCCAATCGGTATTTAACTGACTCAAATTTCAAAATTCTGCTTTATCATGTCTCCATGATCATGACAATCGTTCTTTTGCTATATATTTTAAGATACATTGTTTATGAAAAGTTTAAGAAGCTCAAAACCATTCCAAATTAGCAGGCACAAAATAAAACATTAAATACTTCAAAAAATAGAATTAACCATTTGCGTCAGCCGGGAATCGAACCCGGATCTCATGCTTGGAAGGCAGGAATGCTAACCATTATACCACTGACGCACAGACTGGGAGTTATAATTAGCATAAATAATATATTTCAACAATATATCAATCAAGACAATTTGGGAAGGACATGCTTTGCCTTTCTAGGTGTGTTAAAAGATCTTTGTCTCTTTCTCTTGGCGATTCGTTCTTTTTAGAGGCCAATTTGAAGAATACATGTTCCAAGAAAAAATCAAATATGTGCTCAGCGATTCAGAATGCTTTGGAAATTTCACTGGAGCAAGAGAAAAATAGTGGTAATGCTTTATTTGACTGAGTGCCTTAAGTTGTGTTTGGAGAGGATGTGGCCTTTGGTGGTGTCTTTAGATGCACCGTTGAATTGGCGGAAAAGTTTGGGAAAAAAAGAGGTTTCAATACCCCACTTTCGGAACAAGGTTCCATTTTCCGAATGATGCATGGTTTTAGGAATTGTTGGGTTCGGAATTGGACTGGCAGCTCAGGGAACCACTGCCATTGCTGAGATACAATTTGTGGATTACATATTTCCTGCGTTTGATCAGGTATCAGTGTGCTATTGTGTATAGATCATCAGATTGTCAACGAAGCAGCAAAGCTAAGATATAGATCAGGAGGTGACTTCAACTGTGGGAAACTCACAATAAGAGCCCCATACTCTGCAGTTGGCCATGGCGGCCACTATCATTCGCAGAGCCCTGAAGCATACTTTTCGCATTGTCCCGGGATCAAAGTAAGTTTGTCATCTGACTCATTTAGATCGTAACCCCACGAAGCCCAAGCCAGGCAAAGGGACTATTAAGGGCGTCCATTTTAGACCCTAACCCGGTGATATTTTTCGAGCCAAAGATTTTATACAGAACATCAGGTTGAATCGACCAGTTGACAATTTGTAGTTGAAGAAATCCCCATTGATGACTATACACTGCCACTTGGCAAGGCTGAAGTTGTGGATGAAGGTAATAATCGCACATGACGTGGGTATAGGAAACGATGTAACTCTTGTTGGTTGGGGGGCGCAAATAAACGTCCTCAAAGCGGCATCTTCGATGGCCAAGACAGAGCTAGGAGTTTCTTGCGAGCTTATCGATTTGAGAACAATATCTCCATGGGATTTTGAAACTGTGGAAAAGGTATGCACCCCACTTAAAAAATAGTCTGTAAAAAAGACCGGAAGGCTTGTGATTTCTCATGAGGCCCCTGTTACTTCTGGATTTGGGGCTGAAATTGCAGCCACGATACAAGAAGCGTGTCTTCTTAGCCTGTGTGCGCCCATAAGAAGGGTTTGTGGCTGGGACACCCACTTTCCACTTATCTTTGAAAAACTATACTTGCCAAATGCATATAGATGCTATGATGCCATTAAAAGAGCCATCAGCTATTAAACGAATGGGCGAAAAAATCTCATTTTAAATATTGCTTTTAATAAATAGGACGACTAGACACCGTCATGGTCTCCAACAAGGTCTGCATTGTACTGCTCGTAATCGGCATGCTCGTCATCATCATATTCGATCGAAATTAAAGACGTCAAGGTTCTAAATGAAAGGGCAAACAAGCGATAGCGCCAGCCAGAATACAAGGCTTTCAGGCCTTCCTCGTTGTAAATCCGGAATATGGTATCCCAAAGACCATGATAAGGCTTCGGAGACAAATATGTGCCAACGATAAATGGACGAACTACGGATAATCTTCTAACTAGAATTGGTTCTGCGTTCGATGAGGGCGAAATTCCGGACCAGTAGTAAAATGGCATCAACGAGGCGCCCGCAGTAGAAGAGCGGTTGTTCTCAACAAACAGTTTATTTTGAGGAGGTCTGAATTGCGCCATAAGCCTTAATCTTGAAATATGAAAGGGCTGAAATATCGCTACTTGAACACCATCCAGCAGGAAGGGAAGACAGATCGATACTGCCAAAGTAACCCATGATGAAATGTTAGCATCTTCTGCAAGGAAGACTGATATCAATTTTGAGAGGAAAAAGTTTCTACAAATACCGAACACAGAGGAAGATAAGTAGAACAAGGATGTGGATAGCCCAAGATACCGGTAAACCGAGCAAAAGATCCCGCCCTCCTCGTTGTACATTCCAGCCAGACAAGAAAGTATTGAATTGTACTTTTTCTCGGTTGGCATTCTGCTTTGGATAACGCACCTACTATAAGAAAGTGCGATCAATACCTAACATTGCTAATTTCCAGAGGAAGCAAAATCAGTGACGAAGAAACAGTGGAAATGAGCTCTGAAATAATCTCAATGTTCATATCTGTGAGAGACAAAAAATTTTCGAAAAGAAAAGAGTCTATTAGTATGGAGAGCGACCGTTTAAAAAAAGACCTGGAGAAGGAGTAAAAAATAGAGCTGGCAAGGCCTCGGAAAAGAACAGACACGCCAAAATGGACCGATAAAATTTTCATAACCAGCGGCAAAGAACAGGAGGTCAGATCAACTGATGTTATTCCTTTTGAGCCAACAATAACGGTAGATAAAAGAGACCCATCTTCTAACACACACGTCCCAATGACCTTCTCCTTTGGGGCCTCTACATATCCGAGACTATCAACCGGCAGCGGCAATGGGGACGGTGCAATTTGTGAGGTTTCTTGACAATAAGCATCGGCTTCCAAAAGACGGGTCTCTAAAGGCTCTTCAGAGGGAGGCGATGGGCAAATGTCATCGATTGACTTTTTCGAAAGGACGCTGGGAGTATATTGAACCTGCTGAAATATTAATGCAACTTGGAAGGGGTTCGATACTATATAGGGGAAAAGAAATAGCCCGAATTTGTATAAAAAGACAGGATAATTAGACGTCCTGATTTCATATTCATTTTCCAGTTCACTGTCAACAGAATGATACATTTTTCAAAAATTGATGATCTAGGGTTAGATTGACCCTAAACCGACGAAAGGCATGTAGAAATGATTAATCTTTGGCCAAATATTTAGGCATAGGGTTACAAATTATTGATCTTTCGGTTAGGGTTACAAATTATTAATCTTTACCTGTACTTTCAAGCATAGGGTTACAAAGTATTAATTTTTACTTATTTACCGATGGCACCAAGGAAAAAGGCAAAAGCTTCACGTGCACCATTGGTGGATCTTCCTCCTGCTCGTAATTATTCCTCGTTTGACGACACTCCGAAGGAATTCAAATTTCTACTTGAGAGGACAAAAAACATTCTTGATAAATCTTCGGCTGCAGGGAAGCATCATCTCAACGTAAACCCCTCTTCTAACAAGTATCAGGGAAATCAAAAACGACATTCCAGTCAGCATGAAAAACTTGAGCTCCCAGCTTCAGACTCAAAAGGTAGTAAGACGAAACCTATAATAAAAAGCCTCTCTTCAAGCCCCCGTTCATCGTCCGGAGGAAAGCATTCTAAAAATGCTAGCCCTACCCTTTCTAAAGGAATAGGTTCGAAAGCATCTAAATCGCCCTTGAAACGAAGAAAAATCTCGACTGTAGATAAAGTTCGGTTTGGTGAGGTAGTTCAGGCCCCCCCGCAATTAATGACCTTTCCTAAGCCCCTCGTAGCAAAGCAGTTGTCCCCCGAGCTTTTATTGATAAGGGAAYGAGCAAAGATCCAATATCAAAAGTCCAAGCTAAAGCAAAAATAGATAGATGGATG